TAATATATAAATTCTCTCAGTTTTATTTTGTTATTTGAATTTAGTATTGTTATTACTTTTGAAAAAGATGGACTGTGTGCTTAAAATTATAAATTTTAAAATTTTATACTTTTCCACACTAATAACTACAATTGTTAAAATTTTATACCAGCACGCCTCTGCCACAAATTTATCTCAGAGCGTACTCACCTAAGCACGGTCCGTGTTGCGATAACCTTAGGATTCAGATTCCAGCACGCCCATCCCATGCCAAATGGCACACCCGTGCCGAAAATCAAGTTCTGTTTTGAGCCGATAACGTCTGCCTAGTCTTCTCCACTTGCATGGGCCCACATGAGATACTTTTCTAACGTGCTAATCAAGTTTAAATCCTATTTAGACGCACGGGAGAGTCCTAATTGAGAAAAAAATTAAAAGCCTAGAGAGTCTTCTATCTCTAAGAGATTTCCTACTCAATAAAGGTTTTATTTCCTAAACGAAGTCGGAGTTTTTCCCAGGAAGTCTATAAAAAAAGAGAACTCATTCATTGTAGGGGATCGCTGGTTCCACCATCTTTTGTTCTATTGTTTTTCTCTCTCCAAGACTTTAAGTTATCAAGATTTGTGTCAAGATTTAAGGAAGCCGTCCACGTTATTTGTTGACTAGTTTTTATCTCAAAACTCTTAATCTTATTTCTAATTTTCATTATTCATATTGACTATGCAATTATTTTCAAGTTTAATTGAGTTTTATTTAATTACTATATCGAACTAAATTCTCGTATTAGAGATTTGATGTAGCTTAATTTTTATTCCAATTTATAATATTAGATTTGTTTTTCCTTGTTCAATGTATAATTATTACTGAACTTAATGCTTCCAGCAGAATTTCTTCTTCGAATTGATTTATTTCATTAATCACTATCGGGAGACTGGTTTTTGATATGAAAAAGGTAATAAATTACATGGATTAATAACTTAATGTAGAAGCTATATGGTTTGACTCATGGGGGATTTTCATAAGTTAACTATCTTAGATTATGAATTCATAAATAAATCATAAAACTTAATGATTTAATTTTATTTAATTCATGTTTGATTGCACTGTTGGAAGATAGGTAATTAGATCGGGTTAAAATAGCTAAGAATACATCGAGAGAGGTTGTTAGTGATTTTAGATTATTTCTCCTAGTTGAACAATTAAAATTGATTATCAAACTAATCAAATAAATTGGATAGAATTAGATAAAGTCAAAATCCCTAATAGCTTTTAATCCTTGATTTCTTATTATCAAAAATTGTCTTGCTTAATTTCTTTTTATTCTCTTTTATTTGTTGAAGTTAATTATTGTCTTGCTTAATTTCTTTTTATTCTCTTTTATTTGTTGAAGTTAATTTCTTAAAAAAATTTCCTCAGATTGTTGTTTAAATAATAGTAAGTTAACATAATTTTAGTACTTGGTATACAATCTTTGTGAGAGCGATGCTCTATTCATTTTTTATTACTTGTAGCGATTTTGTACACTTGCGAAAAATCACTGTCAAGTTTTTTGCGCTGTTGCAGGGTAATCTAGTTTTGTAAATTCAAATATTCAATAAAATAAATTTATAAATTAAAATATTTAATAAATGAATGTAATTTTATAAATTAAAGTATTTAAACCCTATTTTTTATAATGTTGAGTACCATGGCATTTGAGTTTGTTTTTAGAAGTTAAGATAGCGTTTTATAAAATATTAACTCCTATAATATTTAGATTTTAGCTTTTTATGAAAAACTATCCAAAACAACTACTAGCTACTTCAACGGTTAAACGTTATTAAAACAACTAATAAATGCCACAATAGTTAATTTTACCAAACATGTCTCAGGGTAAAAAAAAATGTTGTTTTAAAAAATTATTATTGTCTTATCAATATTTTTCCAATGAATGATAATGAATGCCCTCACTTGAACAAAAAATTATTTTTTATTAATTTGATCACAACCCCAATATATATATATATATATATATATTACTAAATAAACATCAATTTTTGATAATGTCTATTTTATTACACATATCTATTTCAATTGCGCGGAATATTCCAAAGTTTTGATATTATATTTGGAAAATCTTAAATGCAGTATCTTCTAGTAGGTGCCTTTACAACCGATTGCCGATGGATACAAAATGAAGGAGATCCTGCAATCTGGGAAAAATATTTGACTCTGTAACACTGATCCAATTCAAATAAGTGATTAACCAATATATGTATATATATACATACAACAGCCCAAATATATCGATTTTGGACATAGGCCATGGGCCATAGCCCAGATATATTTGAATTTTTGTTTTTGTTTCAAGTTTTAAATTGGATTTAGTCATCAAAACTAATATTTAAATTATCTAAATACTTACATTAAATGATCTAAATAAATGCCAAAACAATCAAAAGAAACGAAATTTTTAATTACGGTAATAGTTGTTCAAGAATCTAGATTCAAAGTAGAAATTTTCTTTTCCATCAATTCAACCAAGATATAAATTTATGAGTATAAACATATAATTATATTTTTTTAAAAAAAATATAAGTAGAGACAGATATGCACAATGATAAAAATTATGCAATTTAGTGAAATTGATGTAGATTGCACTGTCGCTTATAAGTTACTTGAAATTTAATTTAAAAGAAGTTTGTTCGATAAATTTAATAAATTATATTCAAATATGTTTGAATTCGAATGTTCAATTAATAAACTGAGTCTGAACTTGATAAAACTCTAACGTGTTTATAATTTTAAATAATTGAAAAAAAAATTACCATGAAAAAAAGTTCTGTAAAGGGGGTGAAAGAAATTTAGGATGCAAATATCTGTTAAATAAAATGGACTGCGATTCTAGAAAATAAGACATGTCATGAGATAAATTCATACAAAATTCAATGAATAAATAATACTCCTAAGGTAAAAAAAAAAAAAGAAAAAAAAAAACACCAATATGGTCTACTAAGGTAAAAAACTTTGTGTATAAAACTCTCATAAATAAAAGTATTGATTAAGGCCATAATAAATATTTTGCAATACATAAGAGGTTTAATGCATCGATAGAATAGGTAGATTACACACTACACAATAAGGGATACTCTCCGAGGACAAATTCCTTATAATCTAATTGAATAAAACCAAATTTTGTTATATTTTATCCATTAAATATCCTTCTGATCTGATTGAATAAAGTTAAACCATTTACTAATTTGATGATAACTTTTATAATGGAGAGAACTCGAACTCGAAACCTCCACATCTTTTATAAACAAGAAAAAACTAACCAAACCATACTTGGTTCTATCATAACCAACATTTAACATTATCATAAACATTAGATATTATCATCAATATATTGTCAAGACAAAGTAATACTATCACACTTCTAACTAAGAAGGAATTAAATTTTCACTTTTCACTTTTCACTTTAATATTTATGATTTTTTAATAAGAACAATATTATATTTCCTTTCATTACCAATTAAATGTTTGGTAATTTAATGTTGTTGATTCATTAACACTAACATGTCAAACTTTTAATTATCACATAACATTGTTAATCTAATATTACATTGACATAGACTAACAATGTTTGGTGCTAAACCTTAATTTTTCACAACATAAAGCATAAATTTATGTTTTTGTCAAGAAAAAAAACAAATAAACAATAAACTACAAAGTGAAAAAGCATGCACAATGCGATGTTTTATTGTACTTTTTCCTCAAAGTTTTTAGGAACAAAATTAAAAAAGATATAATGAAACATTTATAATTTTATATTTAAAACTTTTGAAAGTAATAAATTTATGTTCAACTAAGGATCAAAAACATATAATCCTTAATAGCTTTATTTTTTGTTTGTTAATTTTATTAGTGAATATTATTAAGAGACTGTTAGTTTTAGTTGATAGCTAATTTACTCCTAATAGTTAAGTAAGACGTGTTAAATAAGGATTTTAACGAGTTGTTGATTCCACAACAATGTTTTGAAACTTTTTCCAATCACTTGCATTTTTCAGTTTTTTTAAATAATTGGTATATATTTATATTTAATTATATTTATTTTAACATTGTTAAAATAAGTAGTGCTAAAATTATTTATTTTTGAAATTAATAATTTTATTTAATATTTTTATAATTATTTGTTTAAAATTAAGTACTGCTAAAATTATTTATTTTTGAAATTAATTAATAATTTTATTTAATATTTTTATATTATTTTAAAAATATTAGGAATATTTTATTAAATATTATTATAAAAAAATTATTATATTATTTACTTCTATAATACATTTAAATGAAAATAACATATTTATCTTAAACAATAAAACATAAAAAATTATTAATATTATTTACTTCTATAATACATTAAAATGAAAATAACATATTTATCTTAAACAATAAAAACAATATATATATTGATACACAATGATAAATAAAAATAATTATATTTTTAATTATCATTTTATATTTGAATATCAGTTAAATTAAATCAAACGCGCCCTAAATTTTAAAAAAATAAAAAATTCTCTAATTTTACTTCTTAAAAGCAATTCTTAATTAGGAAATGGAAACAATTTTGGCAAAATTTGTGCCAAGCCCAATATGAATGAAAATACTATAATGCCTTTAAAAAAAAAAATTTAACTGTTAGGGTTATGTTCGATAAAATTAGTTGTTTTTGTAGTTATTAGCTGTTTTAATACTTGAATAGCTTTTTGTAAAACGTTAAAAATTAGATGTTACAATATTCAATTTAAAAAAAAAAAACTACCTTAACCTCCAAAAATTAACTCAAATAGTATGTTACCAAACACTACGAAAAAAAACATATGTTATACTAATGGTGTAATTTACGTATATGTGCAAAAATTATATCAGACATAATATATGCCATTTAGCAAATATGGTAAAAGGAAATTACATTTATGAAATTAATTTACCTTAATAACAATAAAAAAAACCCTATTTAAACCCCAAGCACAAAAATTGAAACAGTACTTCTTTCTTCTACCACTCTAACAGAACCAAAACCCACAAATAGGAAATGTGGCGCACAAGCTTACCGGTCCGTACAATCCTTCTTTCCAAATCAAAACCTCATGGCTTTAGCCCTCTTCTCAAGCCATTCTCGCGCCATTTCTCTCTCCCAAAAGCCCTAATTGTTAGCTCAATTTCTGCTTCGCTTTCTCCAACTCTCAGTTTTAGTGGACGCCCGCATTTCGGCGGCGTCAACGGCAGCGGCAGTCCTACTTTAGGTATTGTGAGGTGTGTCTCTTCAATTTACTCCTCAGCGCCGCAGCCGAATACCACGGCGGAGTGGAACGAGCCAGTGTCGTCCACTGAAGTTGGCGATGGTGGAAACCGAGCCGTCGATGAGGACGCCAAGCCGTCGATTCCTGTTCGAGCTTATTTCTTCTCCACTAGGTTTGCTTCTTTAAATTATTAGTATTATTATTTGAATTGCAATTTTGGAGTTTTTATTTTATGTGTTTCCATTTGTTTGAAATATATCTGAATTTTGATGTAGTGTGGATTTGAAGAGCTTAGTGGAACAGAACAAACCCAATTTTATTCCACCAACGTCTCGTATGACTAACTACGTTGTACTCAAGTTTGGGAATCTATCTGAATCCACTGTAAGTTCCTCTCTGCACATATGTTTGTTAATAGAAATCTTGTAAATTTGATTTGCAATTCTGGGACTCTCTTTTGTTGTTAAGATTTTTATGTCTAATGAATTGTAGTGTTGGTTTTATTGTTTAAGACTGCTGGAAAATATAAATAGTGAGAATTAAATCTTGGCAAACTTATGGGATATAGCACGATGCTTCTGGAAGGGAGTTGTGGTTATCATGCTATGATACTTGATGCTTAGTGCACTGTCATCTAAAATATATCCAATCTTCAAAACTTCAGAACTTTATGTTCCTTAGATATGTGTCAAATATTGGTCGGATGCTCTTCAATATTTATTGGATAAAAGTTACAAGACTTTGCAAATTTCTAGTTCATAAAATATTTTGACAAATGCCACTTTTTCCCTCACATTTCATATATTATCTCATCTTTGGTCCTGTTTTGTCTCTCATTTGCCATGGCAATGCATAGTTTATTCTTTGAATGTCTGATACCTGCTATGACCTGACTATTTCACTGCTTTGAGGTTGGGAATAGGTCTGTAAGCATAGAACTCTGGCCTCATGAACACAATAAACTTTTATTGGGCAACTTGATTGGGTTGGGTTTTTGATGGTTTTGTACGAATATCTAGTGTTCAATTTACTATTCTACTTACGTTTGAATTTTTTTTTTTTAAAACATTGACTTACAGTAATTTTTGTAGAGTGGCTGATCAATTCTTCCACCATGTTTATGGTTTTGGTCTTGAGATTGGTATTAATTTAGAAATTGTTGGCAAGCTTAAGTGGGTCCTACTCCCTTTTCTCCGTATTGTGCGTTCTAGCTGTAGAATACTTTATGCAAATATACTATTCTTTGCTGATTTCTTAATTACAGTATGAGAATTTTTTTTCTTTCCCTAAATGTTCATATGAATGATTCAAGCATGTATGTATTACTGAAGACAACATTTCTTGAATTCCTTGCTTCAGGGTTTGGGGGCTTTCATAAGCGGAAGTAAATGCTGTTACATGGTAGTGTTTCAATATGGCTCTATTGTCTTGTTTAATGTCCGTGAACATGAGGTTGATGATTATCTGAATATTGTAAGAAACCATGCATCAGGATTGCTTCCTGAAATGAGAAAGGATGGTGAGATCCTATTTATTTTATTCTCTAATGAGTAATTGTCATATTTCTTTACTGGACATTTATAAAAATGCAATGGAGAATCCTATTCTTGGTGGGTGAAATGATGTAACACAAAATGAGATGGACATGACAGAACAATATTTATCATGATTAAATGAATATGTCTAAAATTTTTTTTTTGTATTCTCTACAAAAGAAAGGGTTAATCGATGTTACAAAATTGAGTAATCCAGAATAGCTTAAAAATGTACATGGTAGGCTGCATGTTGGCCCAACACTTTTGGATGATTCAGATATTCCATAATTATCAATTGCTAGGACTGATGTGGCCACTGTTTTTTTTATATCTTTTGAAATGTAGCCCCTGAATGAAGTAGAGTGGAGGAAAGAATCCATATAGCTGACTGCTACAAGATCGGTTTTGAGGCTAAGTTGGATAGTACCTATAGATTGGTGATTTTAAATGGGAAAACAACTGGACCTAAATAATCTGTCTGCAAAACCAAGTAGTGGTTTTCCATATTCAATGGCATGGCTGGCAGCATGGTACATGAATATACTTAAAACCTCTGTATCATACTTTTTAACTCTATGCATTAGACACAATGCATGCTAAGATTACTAGAACGAGAAATGAAGAAAAGTCTTTCTATAAATTTGAGAAATTTGCTGTCCTGAAATTTTCTCTCTAGTTCGTGTTTTAAGCTAGACATGCTGTTGCTCATCTAGGTTTATAGGTAGGGGATTGATAATGAGGACTAGTGAATCTTTTTCCTCTTAGTTTAGCTAGAAAGATATTATTATTGTAACTTATCTCAAATGGCCCTTTTTGGATATATTTTAATATTCAATTGGTTCAACCTGTCAATTGTGTGCTTATGGGCTATTTAGATGGTGATCTTATTTCGAAGAATTTTTAGGCACTTACTTTCTTCCTATAGGCCACTGAGTTCTTCAATGCCTATCACTTTATTTCCTCATTAATTTTCGCCCTTACCACCTTCAAAAAATTATAATGGTGCTAGTTATGACTGTGCTATATCCATCAAGGTGTTCATGCGTTCTGTAGTCTCCTATATGGTTGTTCTTTTTGTTTGATGCTAGCATTTAATAATTAACTTGAGTTGCCTGCTGGCTGGTTGCTATGTGATTCAGTTGCATATTCTGCAATACTGTTTCATTGAAATTTTGGTTTTATAGAGATTCATGATCATTTTTCCTATCTACTTACTATAATGGAGAGCTTTTGTTCTTTCTGCTTTTGATTAATGCAATTATTATTTTTATGATTCTATTGCTATTGTTGTTGCTTTATGCTTGATTATCATTCATTTTTTACTTTCCCTGAATAACTGAAAATTAACCATGATGCCGCTTTTCTATTAACATGTGAGCTTGATTTCCTGTTATGCAATTGCAAGAATATGAGGTGCGGGAGAAGCCAACATTGAACACATGGATGCAAGGTGGCCTAGATTACATAATGCTGCAGTTCTTGAATATTGATGGAATCCGTACAATTGGTAGTGTCCTTGGTCAAAGTATTGCTCTTGATTACTATGGGCGTCAGGTATGTAATGTCATCTCCTAAGTTTCTAAATTGGTGCAGCATTCTTGCTTAACTATCTTTGCCACCTTGTTTTCATTTATCCTGTTAGGTTGATGGGATGGTTGCAGAATTTACCGATATAAATCGTGGAATGGAAAAAACTGGAACATTTTCTATGGATAGCAAAAAACTATTTCAAATAGTAGGGAAAGCTAATTCTAACCTTGCTGATGTGATCCTTAAGCTTGGACTGTTTGAGAGGTAAATTTTTTGGTGTAATACTGAAATGATAGCTACTTGTAAATTCTATTTTTGCCAGTCTATAAAGAAGATTGCTCTACAAGCGGAAATGAATTAGAAGCAAATTTCATCTGTTTTGGAATTAAAGCTCGGTTAAATTGATAATGATTTAGCTTTTTTTTTTTTATTATTTTATATTTCCTACAATTACTTATTCCTGGAAACCAAATGCATCATAAGGTAGATTCCAAATGCTTTGAAATCAACTGGGAAACTGAGGGGCTGGGGCCCATTCCGGCTAAAATTCAGTGAGGCGTAAAATAGGATAAAGAAAAAACAACATGGGAAAGCTTCAGCCATTAGTCTTTCTGTGATGAAGTGCTGTAGTAATGGTTTCTCTTTCCTCCTTTTGGCCTTAGACAAGTATCTGGTTGATCTGTGTAATCACCTAAATAGAGTGTGACCTCTTTGAGCACCTAGGGAAAACTACAAACAGTTAAAGCTAGATTTGACCGTGAATTCTATATTTTACCATTGCAATATCGCATTTGTCATGTCATTTGCTGTGGGTATAATCAAATTCTGAAAGTTTTGTTGGTTTTAACAGGTCAGATATTGCCTGGAAAGATGCAAAATATGCCCAAATATGGGAATATCTAAGAGATGAATTTGAATTAACTCAAAGATTTGCAAGTCTCGATTTTAAGTTGAAGTTTGTAGAGGTAATTCTGCAGTGATTGCAAGTCTTTTTATTTCATTGTTACCATCAGCAGTGACGGAGAAAGTATCATGTTTTAGTGACACCTCATGTTTTCTTTGCAGCACAATATTCGTTTTCTTCAGGAAATTCTGCAAAATAGGAAATCTGACTTCTTGGAATGGCTCATTATTGTCTTGATAAGTGTTGAAATCATTATCTCTATATTTGACATTACTCAGAGGTCAGGATTTAAATTCTTCAAATTTTTTTAATTTCAATTTTTCCAGCAATATACACGAAGGGATTATGATTGTAGCTGGCACCTGATAAATTTGTATATCTTCTTCAAATAGCTGAATTTGTGTATACATGTGCCAAGTTATAATATAGAGCTTTGTCAAATTTTTGTTTCCCTGTTTCTTTTCAATGGTGAATATGCATTTCTGAAGCAAGATCCACTTGATATTTGAAAATTAGTTTATGGCCAAATACATCATTTAAACTCTGAACTTTGAAAAAAAAAACCTGTCACTATGAACTTTAAGATTGACGTTGTGATATCTTGAACTTCATTTTTTGTCATAATCTTACACATTTTTACATTAAAAAAAATATTTCTAAGATTTTTAACTTTTATATGCAAAATATTGATTGGTATATTGTTAATATAATTTTTGAAACAATAATTTTTGCCTTTTTTAACTTCAATAAGTATTTAATCAATAAAATTTTATAAGTTGAGGTGTTCAATGATTCAAATAAAGTATTTAAAAAGTTAAATTTTATAAATTAAAATATTTAATGGGTCAAAATAAAAGTTGAGAGTATCATAAAAGTATTTTTGGTAGAAGTATATGAATAAATTTATATATTGAGCCGTTAGTTTATCTTTGATGCAGGTTATGAGAATATCTGCAATTTGTGAAGGGATCCATAGAATTAGTCAATGTTTTAAAACCAAATGGGAGACCGACCGGCTTGATGACTGACTTGCGGTTGAACCGGTGAACTTGATTCAATCAAATTTTTTATTTCTTTATTTTAAATAATTTTTATGCTTTTTTTTAAATAATTTTCATTTTGTGATTTTATTTATTATATTTTTAATTTTATTTATTTAATTTTATTATCATTTTTTATAAAAAAAATTTAAAAATGAAAAAAATTTCATACAAGATTCTGATCCTAAAACCCAAAAGTCCATATATGCCCTTCCAAGGCCGACCAATACATAAAAGCTCCAATCAGTTGGTAAAGCAAACCGGACCAACTACTGGCTTGTAATTTAGTTCAATCAGTTGGTCCAATCTGGTTTTGAAAATATCTATCTATCTATGAACGTATAAAAAGACAAACTTAAAAGTTGATGAGGCACAAAATTAGAACTTTACAGTGCTGATGCACTATTTTTTTCTATTTTTTCTTTATTCTTAGTTTGAACATTAATAGAAATAAAATTAATATTTTTAATAATGTTAATGGTATGTTTTTCAGTTTTTTTCAATAAATAATAAAATTATTAACACAATTAAATTCTTTTTAACTAATAAAACTTTTGAGCTACTTCCTCTAATGATGCAATTCATAATGTTATTGAATAATAATCTTAATACTATTTAAATTTCAGGGTTTTTTTTTTTTTTTTCCAATCACCGACATACATATTCTCTTTGATATTTAGATTGACACAAAAATAGTATTCTAAACATTTACTCATCCAAAGACTCTAATGTTAAATGAATTATAGATTTCTAATCGCACTAGAATTTAATTAATACATATAAATAATTACATGAAGATTAATAATATAATAATGAATTCATGATATTTTTTTGTGCAACATGCGGATATATGACTAGTTGGATATAATATATCCGGTTTTGAAAACATTGAATATATCTAGTTGAATTTATTAAATACCAAATAGAAAATGTCAATTTTCTCATTTTAAATAAATAATTATGGAATAAACAAAAAAATGTTAAATATAGAATCGTAAATGGAAAGATATTTGGGTTAATTATTTTTAGCAGCTCCACTTTAGTTCTCTGATTCTTTATTACCACCCAACAAACTTTGGCGCTTTGACTGTAATCTATGTTAGACTCTGTTTGGTAAAAAATAAATTTCATGGGATAATATAGAATTCATTTACAAAAAAAACTTGTATATGGTATGCCAAACAAAAGAACGAATAAAAGAATTAGAAAAAGAAAAAAAATGATCATTAGCGTTGACACTTTAGCTAGGCCCGATGGTACCTACTACGCTTCAATTCTATTGAAACAAATTTTACGCGATTTGTATAATAAATGGGGTGGGATGGATATTAAATATTATACCTACCGTGAATTTAGATTGATAGTGGAGAATATATAATCCGTTTTGAACTCGAATTTGGAAGGTACATAATTCACTCGAACTCGATCTGATTAAATTTTTATTTATTTGAGCTTTTCCTAAATTTATATATAAATCAACAATTTAACCTAATCTAATAACCTAATCTATTTGTTTGGTTCTTCTTCAATATCTATTTTCCTTATTTTTGCTATTTAGTTAGAATTGTTGTGTGATAGAGGAGGGATGAGCCTCCTCCAATACGGAACAAAACAAACTGATGATAATGTAGGCTTCAGGGCCTCAAAACATTATTTATATGCTATAATATGATAATCTAAGCCTGATGAGCCCAGTATATGATGAAACAGGTGGCTGTTAGGGCCTGAGAAGCCCAGTAATATTTGATTTGGCATATTTTGATGAATTTTAAGAACTGCCCGTTGGACCTTGTTACTCCTTGTCAGAAAAAAATTTATCTAGACGGAATCCATAACCTCACTTATAATCCAAATAAATGAAATTAAATACTTTTAAAAAAGTATTCCGACTTTATTTTTTATTTTCCAAGTGTATCATCAGAAATACCTTCATTTTTAATAAGAATCCTTAATTTTATTGGTTTGATCTATAAGTCGAGTCATGGACAGCGGTCTAGGCAAGTTGTTCCTCGTCTCATCGTAAATGCATGTTATTTAGTTACAATTTTTTTTTTAATGTACCAGCATCAAGACTTATCATTATTTTAATTTCCAGTAAAAAATAATTGAACATAATAATTAATAAAATATAAATAAAATTAGAAAAACAATTGATAATTAAATAAAGTATTTTCTATTGTTTGATTTTCTCTTTTATTCATGTTGTTTTCTACAAGATTACAAAAATGTTCATAAATCCATAATTTTTTTAAAAAATCAATATTATCTATTATAATATAATAATTAATAGAGAGAATTATTATTTAATCCCTCGATTTTGATCAAATACATTACTTGATCCTGGCTTTTTTTAAATTACATAGGTTTGATACTTTTAGTTTAAATAAGGGGTATTTTTGTCTTTTCAATACAAATTAATAACAAAAAGTTAGAAAAATTGACGGAATAACCTAAGAATTGGGCATGAATACAAGTTAGAAATATAATCAATTATTTTAAAAAAAGCAAGGACCGAGTAGTATACTGACCAAAATCGAGAGACTAAATAGCAATGTTCTGAGAACCGAACTGGTTAGTGAATCGGTGAAGATTAGAGTTACTGAAACTAGAGGATACAATACGATTCAATCGGATTTTTATATATTATCTTTTTAAATATATTTATTAAATAAAACTTATCATTATTTTAATTTCCAGTAAAAAAATAATTGAACATAATAATTAATAAAATATAAATAAAATTATAAAAACAATTGATGATTAAATAAAATATTTTCTACTGTTTGATTTTCTTTTTTATTCATGTTATTTTCTACTCGATTTGCACAAAAATATTCATAAATCCATAATTTTTAAAAAAATCAATATTATTTATTATAATAATTAATAGAGAGAATTATTATTTAATCCCTTGATTTTGATCAAATACATTACTTGATCCTCGTTTTTTCTAAATTACTTGGGTTTGATACTTTCAGTTTAAATAAGGGGTATTTTTATCTTTTCAATACAAATTAATAACAAAAAGTTAAAAAAATTGACGGAATAACCTAAGAATTGGACATGAATACAAGTTAGAAATATAATAATGTATTTTAAAAATAGCAAGGACCGAGTAATATACTGACCAAAATCGAGAGACTAAATAGCAGTATTTTGAGAACTGGACCGGTTAGTGAATCGATGAAGGCAAAGGTTACTGAAACTGGATAATACAATACGATTCAACCGGATTTTTATATATTATCTTTTTAAATATATTTATTAAATAAAACTGAACGTATACGATAAAAAAAAACTTTAATATCAAATACAATACTCAAATTTGTCTTTTATAAAAAGAATTAAAAAATTGGTAAATAATTTTTTTTAAAAAATGTGACTAAATTTAATACCAAAAAAATCAACAAAATATAACATAATTTTTTAGATTCGGCTTTAAAGTTGGGACTTTATATTTAGAAATAAAGAGATCCAAAAACTAAAAAAATCAATAGGTCTAATTTTAAAGAGGTCCAAAGTTTAAAAAGGCCCACAATTTGAGAAAAATTTAGAATTTGAATCGAACTAATTTTTAACCAGTCCGATTCACCAATTTTCATCCAATTTTTATTAGTTTATGCTGGTTTTAAAGCTCTCTGTTTTTTTACATAATCCGGACTAGACCACTATCCGGTTCCCAATTAAACCGGTAGAACGACCAGTCCGGTCTGGTTTTTAATATAGTAATCTGCCTAATTAATATAATAATTATTATTTTAGAATATTGTTTATCATTTGATTTTTTTTACTATTTACTAAAATTTTTCAAAATATAATTAATTTTATGATTTCCTTTTTTGAGAAAAAAAATTCTTTCAACGTATTGGTTTGCTAATATAATATATTGTGTAGAGATTTACTAACGAAAACTAGAGATACAATACGATTCAATCGGTCTTTAAATATATCTAATCATTTTTATATTTTTTTATCATTATTTTTTTTTAATTTCCAGTATTTGACTTTAATTAGTTAATAAAATTAAATAAACATTGATGATTAATTTTACTGGTTACGAAACTTCTCTTTTCTTATTCAAAATGTTATTATCATACTCTGTTATGAATATTTATATTCCATGATATTTTAAATCAATATTTTTATATACATATTAAATAGCAGGAATTTTATTCCCATTGATTTTTTGATCACAAAATACCATTATTAGATACCTCGTCTTTTTACTAATTACTATGGGTTTGTATTATTTCAGTTTAAATAAGGGTTATATTATCTTTTTACAATTAATTAAAAGTTAAAAATTGACGGATACCAACTAGAATTGGACATGAATACAAGTTAGAAAATATAACTAAATGTTATTGACAAGGATCCCAGAGTAATATACTGACATTCGAGAGAGGATTTT